GCGCGATGCAGTTCAGCCTCGTGAGCCCGCGCACCCAGACCAAGGCCCCGTTCTGCCTCGGCTTCGCCTTCCGCCGCGGCGACGTGCCCGCCGGCAGCATCGTCACGTCGAACCTGGCGGCCCTGCAGGTGACGCCGCGCACCACCTGGCCCGATGGTTCGCTGAAGTTCGCCCAGGTGGCCGGCTTTGCCGACCTGACGGCCAATGTGCTGTCCACCGTGCGTCTGCGTGCCTCCGCCAACGACGGGCGGGTCATTTCGGCCCTCGGCCTCGCCGACCTCAAGAAGACCGGGCTGACCGCCGAGGTCAGCGCCGGCAGCTTCGGCACCGCCGCCTTCGCCGGCGCCGACTGGGACACGCCGCACACCACCTGGGTCAGCGGCCCGCAGATGTCGTCGTGGGTGTTCCGCAAGCCGGTCGGCAGCGACCCGCACCTCGTCGCGTGGCTGGAAGTGCGCCTGTACGCCGGTGGCGCCGTCGAGGTGCTGCCGTGGGTGGAGAACGGCTACCTGATGGTGGCCGCACCGGTGAGCAAGGCCGCGGTGTTCAGCTTCAAGCTGGGCGGCGCGCAGCGCTTCTCGGCCTCCATCGACCTGCCGCACCACTGCCGCACGCCGCTCATCAGCGGCACGGCGCTGTCCTACTGGCTGGGCACCGACCCCGACATCACCCCCCGCCACGACCTCGCCTACCTCCAGGCGACCGAGCAGGTGCCGACGTACAGCGCCCGCGTCGCCCCGTCGGCGGCCGTCGCGCAGGGGCTGGCCACGACCTGGTCGCCGCTGGACAAGGCCAACCTCAACTACTACGCCGACAGCATGCGCTCGCCCGGCTACCAGTCGCCGATCGGCCTGCTGCCGGAACACGACGTGCTGTACCTGACTTGCGAGAGCCCCGCGACCTACGGCGCCGTCGTGCGCAACGGCTACGCGTCCGGCCGCTACGGCATGCATTACCGCGACGAGAAGACGCAGCGCCCCATCCGCTTCTCGCAGTACCCCAACCTCGCGCTGGCGCAGCGGTTCAGCGGCTTCTACGACCAGGGCGGTTCCACCCGCGGCCAGTACACCCCGACCGCGACCGGCACGGCGCCCGTCAGCTGGGACTGCGCGCACAGCCCGGCCATCGGCTACCTGGCCTACCTCGTCACGGGGCGCTTCTATTTCATGGAGGCCGTGCAGTTTGCCGCGACCTTCAACTACCTCGGCAAGGGCGACGCCGACCCGCTGCGCAAGGGTGCGCTCGGGCTGGTGCAGTCCTGTGTCGGGGCGTGGCAGGTGCGTGCCGCGGCCTGGCAATGGCGCACGCTCACGATGGCGCTGAACATCACGCCCGACAGTGACGCCACGCTCAAGGACGAGTTCCTGACCAGCGTGCAGGCCAACATCGATCACTACCACTCCATCTACGTCGCGCAGCCGAACAACCCGTTCGGCTGGGTGCAGGGCGAGAGCTACAACAGCAGCGGTCCGTACTTCGACGCCTCCTGGATGCAGGACTTCGTCACGGCCGCCTGGGGCTTCTCGCTGAGCGTCGGCCTGCCGGTGCCGGCGGCCGCAGCCACGAAGATGGAAGCCTTCTTCCGCTGGAAGGCACGCACGGCCGTCATGCGCCTGGGGCCGGCCAGCGGCTTCTGGTACATCAACGGTGCCCCGTACACGATGAGCGTGTCGCCGGTGCAGGTGCCCGACTTCCAGACCGGCAAGGGGCCGTGGCACACGTCGGACGCCCAGGTGTACGCCACGACCTACGCCACCCCGCAGCCGTGGATGAGCAAGGTCGAGGGTCAACTCGCGGCTGAGATCCTCCCGGGCGAGCGTGCGATGTGGGGCAACCTGATGCCCGCCATCAGCTATGCCGTGCGTCATGGCGTGCCGGGCGCGACGGCTGCGTGGCAGCGCCTCACGCAGGCCAGCAATTTCCCCGCACTGCGCGATGCCTTCCACACGGCGCCCGTGTGGTCGGTGGCGCCGGCGCGCATCACGCCCGCCTGGCTGGCCGGCAAGCCGCTCGGTCAGTGGATCGAGATCCCGAACACCGCGGGTGCCGGCGGCTCGGCCGTCGATGCCTTCTGCGGCATGGCCGTCAACGACCTGACCAGCGAAGTCATCATCGCCGCCGCGGGCGG